TATTGATCAGAGTGACTTTGTCTTATTGTTCCTTCCCCCTTTTTAGGCAGAGAAGAATAGACCGACAGTTTAGCATTATGTTATATAATTTCAGCATATTCTTATGTATTTTTTATTATTAGTGTTTAGAGTAAATGTACAGCAGACTTTGTTGAATACCATCAGGAGTTCTTTTTTCTTTTTGTTTTAGGCAGTACTTTGTCAAAGCATTGTACGTGACTCATTCACTCAGCATGATGGCTTTCATCTTATTTGTTTTGGACCATTATGAAACCCATTGCACTGGCTGCCTCTACATCATTAAAACTTTCAGGATTCTATTAGCTTTGCTATTCTCACCATCCCCTGTTAGTTTGTTAGTTACTCTAGATTAAATGTGTGAAGTTTAGGTTTTCTGTACTCTGAACTCCGTACATTGAGGTCATCTGTGTTTTCATAGAAACTATGCAAAGTCATTCACACTTTAAGTGGTTAGCAGCTACACTGTTAAAAGTGTACTGGTGCAGTTGTTGCATAAAGGGTTATTTCTTCTTGAACTAATCCATAAAAATACCTTTGGCTGATGACGTCAAGTTGATTCAGTCATAAGAAATAATAATCTCGACTTTTAGATGTTAGTCATTAAAGGCAGGGTATGTGATTTTTCAAAAACATTTAGAAAACTGATTCGGGCCGAATAGCAAAACAAACTTGGTGCCGCGCCGCTCACGTCCGTAGACATGGTGTAACATTGGTTTTGCTTTGTTTCACAGAACTAATCGTTGCCTGGGTTGTGTACGTATATGTGGGGCGGAGCGATCAAAATAGGGGAAAGATCCTTTTGGGGTAGGGGCGTGTTTGTTTTGATGATTTCAAATATCAACATTGGCTACCAGAAATCGCTTACTCTGCCTTTAAGTTACAGAGAGTACTTTTAAGTACTAACACAGTTTTGATAGTATTGTATTGGCAGTGACAAGAAAAAGTGACAAATTGTAGCAACAGAGGAAGCTTTTAACATACTGGAGCCATGGTGATTAAGATGCAAGTTTGAATCTTGCCTGAAATTTACACAGATCACATCCCTCTTCTCTCTCTTCTTTTATAATTTTATTTTTTATTTAATTTATATTTCTAATAAAAACATAACAATACAAGTTCCATTTTTGAAACATTCACTTCATTATGAATTTCCAGTCATGTGTTTTATTTAGGGGTTGATAAATATCAGCCTACCAATGCAATGCAATTAGGACAATGGTGCTGAATGCTCAAGGGCACATGACTACAGAACAGGCTAATTAGCCGGAGGATGAATGCCACAGGCTCTGGACTGGCTGAGTAGGGCTTTCAAGTCTTTCATATTTTTTCGGAGATGAATTCATCTCCAGGCCAGATGCAGTGCCAAATCAATAGGCATCCAGAGCATAATTTAGAGAGGCTTCAATAATCACAAAGCAGCAGAAGCTTTTTTTTTTCTTCCATGCCCTGCTCTGACACCTGCTCTAATCTTCTTGGCATAGCGGCACCCCGACTGCTGCAGCATCCAAATCCACCGATGGTGTGACTGGAGGTGGAAAAAAAAACATCCTGTCTTGATCTGCCAGACCCAAGTAAATTAAATAGCTGAATATGACTTGTGCATAAAAGGTTTTTTTGTACAGTGCCATGTTTCAGTACTGTAGGTTAAATTGTGCCAGTAACATTAAAGAGAGTAACATAAAACATAAAAAGAGACTTTGAACTTGTTGTTTGGATGTTGCTAACCACGTTTCAACCAAAGTGAGGGGAAATGGATATTTTAACATAATAAATTGCAAAAATGCTTTCCTTAAGTTCCTGAATTAAAGCATTACATAATTAAGCAATTTCACAGAAGCAAGAGTGCTGTTGTTCTGAGTATCAATATGATATTTAGTGCAACAAATATAAGATCTCTACCATTCAAAAGTTTGGGGTCGTAGGATTTTTAAATGCTTTTCAAAGAAGTCTGTAATGCTGACCTGGACTGAATTTATTTTAATCAAAATACAGTAATATTGTGAAATATTACCATTTAAAATAACCTTTTTCTATCAGAATATATTTTAAAATGTAATTTATTCCTGTGATGGCAAAGCTGAATTTACATTTAAGCTACCATTACATCAGTCACATAAAAAAAGATTTGGTGCTCAAGAAACACTTCTTATTATCAAAAGTAAAAACAGTTGTGCTTCTTAATATTTGTGTGGAAATCTTTTTTTCTTCTTCTTCAGGATTCTTTGAATGGAAAGGTCAAGAGAAAGACATGTATTATTTGAAATGGATAGCTTTTGTAACTTTCTAAATGTTATTGCTGTCACTTTTGATCAGTTTAATATGTCTTGGCTAAATAAAAGTATTAATTTATTTCCAAAAAAAATCTTAATCACCCCAAACATCAGCAAAAGTAGTTCAGTTCCATGTTTTCTGGAACACTAAGAGCACAGACTCATCATTATTACAAAATGACCTAGTGCTGTTATATTAAATAAAAATAAATTTAGTAAGAAAATTGTTGCACAGTGCTCCTGCCAGAATCTTATTGGTCTTTGAATGGTCAGGCACTTGTATAGTAAGTGTTTTGTAAAGGCTGTGTAAGGACAGTGTGATTCAGGACAGTGCTACCGCTTCCTCAGTGCTGACAGAAATCTCAGCATGCAGCCCTAGAGCAAGACCCCATCTGCATTAGAGAGCTGTCACTCTGCATTGCCGCCCTGCTCTCTGAAATGTTTGGGAATGTTGTGGGCCTGTCTCTATATCTGTTTCCTCCACCTCGTCAATGACGGCCGTGCTGGTGAAAGAAGCACGATTAGTGCTCTCTGATTGGCTGGCCTTTTCTCGCTTTAACTTTATCTCCAGCTCCTCACAAGACCCCAGCGCTTCTCATAACAGCAGCCTAAAAAACATGCCTGAAAAGAAAGCGCAGAATAATGCAAATCTTGTTTTTGTTTGTTTTGGAGGACAGTCATAACATTTCAAGTGCCTCTCCTCGCTTTGGCAATTTGCCTGAAGCGTAATAGTTACCTGTTAGTTATAGTGGGATAAATATTCATGCTGGAATTAATATTCAGGCAAGCCATGGTTATGTCACCTTCAAACATAGAAGAGCACAAATTAGCCAGGTGATTCATCTGAATTAAATGCTGTGACCTTAGTCTTCACACATACTCGCATACCTGTGGTGAAGTGAGTGAAGCAGTAATCCAAAGAGCTCTTTGAAGGGAGTGGAGGTCTAAGTAAGCTAAGCTCGTAGTTCTTGTGGATATCAGCTTTGCTTCAGGTGGTGGTTAGAAATTATAGGTCACATTGCTCACATCAGAAGGTCACAACCACTGTTCGCAGTCTCGGCCTCAAATGGCGCATGTGCCCACTATCTACTACAATCTTGACTGTCTGATGCATATTGCTCACAAAACTGGATAGTGCTTTTTTTAATCTTATTTGGTCTTATCTGATTGGCTGATTTTGTGCAACTTCTGGAAGTTAGGGCGCATAGGATTTTATCAGTCTACCTTTTAAAAGTCTTGTAATCAAGGATACAACGTCAAGCCCAATTATTCTTACATCCTACTGATTGAAGTGTGGTATTGTGTATTTTAGGATAAATCTCCCCTAAACGTCGTATAATACAAACATGGTCTGTGGCTGCCGTGCATTACTCTCTCTCATTTTTATTCATTTAATATTGACAATGCACATTAATGAACATCAGTATAAAATACAAAATGTAAACATGGAAACATTAGCAAACAATTAATTTGCATCTGTAGTCCCTAGAAAGTTAAAGGGGTCATGAATTGAGAAAACAACTTTTATTTGAGCTTTTGATATGTATGAGATCATCGTGGGTGGGCGATATAGCCTCAAAATTATATCACGATATTTCAAGAATATTTGCTATGACGATATAAAAAAAATATGGAAAAACTTTTTATTGGTGATTGCAGTTGGTAGGTGTCACACCCCTGTGGACTGTTGATTGTGGTTTCTCCCTCTGTGTCCTTATTTGGTTGTTC